GACAACCTTTTGAGGTGTACTCACAGAACAATTCACAGCTCAGCACAGTGCTGCCTCACAGCTGACTCGTTAACACCTACAAACGTTGAGCTATGAAAATCAAGCCACAGGGTTCACTCGTAGATTTCCATGAGGAAATTAAACTGCCCAGGAGGAAACTGCAGCTCCAAGTACCTTCTGCGGTGGCAATGCATTAGAAGAGGCTGCCCAGGGAGGTGGTGGAGTCACCATCCCTGGAGGTGTTCAGGAAACGTGGAGATGTGGTACTTAGGGACATGGTTTAGTGGGCCCTATTGGTGGCAAGTGGACAGTGATTCAAGCAGAGAGGGTTTCTAATGTTTCAGCAGTAAAGGTGCTGAACAGTCTGGTTGGCAGGGCAGCCCCATGTAATGGTGTCTCCCAGCCAGACCTGTTCTAAATTAATCATCCTCTCTTGCTTTTTCTATAAACACAGACCCTAGGACTTCCCCTGAATTAATCCCTGTTTGGACTGTGTAGGAGATTAGCATGGGAAAGGACATAAAGAATCATCAAGTTCTTTTCCACTGCTATCACAAGTCACAATATCACAAACATTCTGAACTCCCTATGAAAACAGCATCTACAGTGAGCCTGCTGCAGGGAAACACCTCCAGAACCCCACACTTACACTTTATACTCAACGTGAATTACGTTCTTTGATTACATGCAGTTATCCCTGTGGTAAAATTGTCTTTTTAGTATCAACCTCTTCCTTCCCTGAATCTGGTGTACTTCAAGCCAGCAGTAATATCTTCAATTACTCTTCACTTTGATGAGCTAAACCACGCAACTTCTTTCAGCCTTAGAAAAGGAGCTCTCCACGACCTTTAAACAATCAGACAGTTTGAATTCATCTCCCATGAGAGTCAGTCAGTGAGGCTGCAGTGCTCAGAGGATGCTTCTTGCAGTGCAGCACTGGCACCTTGCTGTCCCCATTGCATCTTGCTGTCCCCATTAGAGATGTGTCTCTGAGCAGCAGGCAGACCCACAGGTTTCTCCCACCACCAGACACCCTGACAGCCACTATGTAAGCCCCACAACTCTGTCTTTTCTCTTCCAAAGAATGAGACTCAGTATCTCGAGAAATTATTTTTACTTCCTCACTAATTTATGAATTCTCAGTTTAAGATAATCAGTTGGTTTCTCATTAAAATCAGTGTTTCACATCAGTTAGGTAGCTTCTAATTACATCAGTGTTTCACATCAGTTTTATATTCTTCTGCATTCACCAAGTCCCAGATCAAATATATGTCACAGTGACAACTATTAACTGCATCAGCTCAGTATTTTGATCATGCTGCCTAAGCACAGGCTAAGGCATCGGCCAGTCAGCAGAAACTAACTCCCAAATGACCATACATCTCGAGATAAGCTATGCTTATTTAATTCTCTATTGAGAGGGTTATATTTTTTCCTTAGGAATAGTGATAAATGGACAGGATTGGCCTTGCCATGACATCAGACATCTGGATCCTGAGCAGTGTTTCAAAGATGACTGGCAATCAGTAGTAGTATTACAAGAGCTCCTTTATCAGCCTCATCCAAACTGGGCTTGCTGGGTACGGACAGCTGACGGAAAAGCTTTAGCAGATGTGACAAAACACTCTCCTGAGCCCTGCTGGAGTGGCAAGGATTTATTACACTATTAGCACATTAATACTTCTCTGCTTTCTCCCAAATACAGAACATAATATTGATTGTTCCTGCATTTTTTTTTTCCTTTGAGTTGATTTCCACCATTTCTATCTATTCACTTTGGTATAATCTCTTCCTTCTACATTTTAAAAATGCATAGCTGTTGTCTGCAAGTCTGCAGATCATATGCTGGTCCCTTGGTCCATTTGCTCCCTTATCACTTTTCTGCAAGAGGCTACCTTCTAATTTATATTCATTATTAACTGCTTCTCCCACTTGCTTTTTAATTTCTATACTTCTTTCACTTTCTCTCATAGCCAAACCAATTTTCTAAGCAAAATAACTCCCTTTTTCTGTAGTGCACTTTTTCATTGCTCTTACACAGTTTCGTGGTTTACCTGCTCAAATTCTTCCTTGCAGAGATTCGATTTAGAATTGGGTTTAGCTTATGAAATTGGCACTGTGGAAGCATCATCTACATTTAATATGTTTGACACCACTTTGGAATGCAACCTATTAGAAAAAATGTTCCAAAATGCTTTTAACCCCAGTGAAGAGATAAGTTATATGAAGTGAGAAATTAAGAGCCTTTTACAGTTTTGAATTAATGAGCCCACAGCTAGAATATGGCATGAAGTTGAGAGTACTTCCATATCAGGTATTTGATACCTGGAGAGACTTTGGAAAAAAAAATCAATTAGGGACTGAGAGTATTTTTGAAGAATGCTTTAAATAAGGGAATACTTTTAACCAACTGATGAGTGATAATCGCCTATGTGTACTTTTATAGAGGTGTTCTGCTTCTGAGGTTTAAGTTGAAGATGGGGAGGAAAGAAGATAGAGAAACAAAGAAGAATACTCAGATATTGGACGTAGGGGGATTGTTTGGGGTATTTAGACTCAAACAAATGCCAGTTACATACAGGACGGTTTTTCCTGCGCATACAGGATGTGGTGGAGAAAATAACCAAATAGATGTTCCATCTTTTCTCTTGACCTGTCCCTTTTTTAATAGTCTTATTTAACTCCTTAAAAAAACTGGCTGCTCAAGGCAGCTAGGCTACCTAGTGTGGCTCAAACACTCACCATTGCTTGTTTTTTTTGGTATGTTGTGCTGAGATTCATGTACTACACAGTCAGCAGGGCTCATAGATTGTCTCCCACAGGGTACATTTTCCTGGTTCGCTACTCATTTAACTCAGGGGAAATAGCACTGAACTGTGACAGATCCTTACAAGAGGTAATTTCACCAGCCACATTAGAAATACTCCTATTGACACAGAAAAAAAGAAAAAAAAAAAAAAAAAAAAAAAAAAAAACAAACACATCAGCTCCACAAAGACTTCTCCACCAGAGTTCAATCCCACAAGATCTTCACAGCCTAAAGTAAAGAACGCTTCAGCTGTGCCACTGCAATACCCCTGTGAGAGAGCTCTGCCTTAATAGAGTTAAATGGTGGGTACAGATTAGGGAGCTGGTGGTGGTACAGATTGGAGTTTTAAGTTTTCTCTATTAACAGAGATTACTTTCAGCACCAAAATAACAAATTCCTTTGCAACATTAGTCAATGAAGTCAAATTTGTCATAACCAATGAAATAACAAGTTTTGTCATCTTAGACCTTATCTTGGTCAGGTAGCCTGTGCTGAGCATATCTAGAATAGCCCCGAAGCTGCAGGATGGATGCCCAGGAAGACAGCTCTGCCCTGAGCTGCTACAGGTCTGACAGCTGTGCTGAACAACGCATCTTCAGGAGCTGGAGCTCTCTCAAGGCTCCACATTTCCAGCACAACACCAGCACACACACTGGTGTTGCTCCATTACAGGAAGCATTCAAAGCCAGGCTGAATGAGCAACCTGGTCAACTGGGAGGTGTCCCTGCCTATAGCAGGGGGTTGGCCCTAGATGATCTTAAAGGTCCCTTCCAACCCAAACTATTCTATCATTCTATGACCATCACTGGCCTTGTTACTTTCACTTTGAAATGCAAGCTGCAATTCTGCGGACTGGTGATTTAGGTCCCTGTTGTCCTGAGGTTCCCACTCGAGTGATACCCTGCTGTCATTTCTAGTCACACAGTGTTTAGTAGCTTACTTCAAGGAGTGACTGATCATGTTTGTGCTTCGAAGGCATACGCAGACAAAAATACGATGATACCGAGTTTCAAAAATCAATTCTAGCATATGCTTAATGATGCCTACACACTCTGCTGGAGTGCTGAGAGGTCTGGCACTCTGTCCTAGCTCCCTGAGTGCCTGCACAACAGCCTCACACCTCCAAGGAAAGCTGCACAACTAGCCTTAGCCAAGCAGGTGCTCTCACCCTTCAGTGCCCACTGCACCATTTGTATTTTGTAACCACAGATGCACATTCTTGGAGAGCTCCAATACACAAGCCAACTAATTACCATTTGTAACTAATTAATTATTAATTTGTAAGTTGATCTTAATAGAAAGATGACACTTTAATAACTAGTCTAATACTAATGCTGGTGAGCTTGAAGTGACATCAGATTTAAAAGAAGTTTACAGATTTTGGTATAAATAGAATCAGTTACACTAATTCATTGTATTGTGAAGCACCACCATCATTTTCATGTAAGAAATGAGCCCACTCTACTCATTTTAATGGTTTATATAATCCTCACAGACAGGCACATCAAAACGAGACAGCTGGGGATTGACAGTATTTCATCTGTGCAGTTCATGTTACACTCACAAGCACACACAAGAACAAAGCAGAAGTCACCAGCCAGGGAGGAGGCTGCCAGGCTGTGCAACAATATGGATAACACAGCAGTGAAAGAAAGAACCATCCTTCTCACAGCTTTACATTGGGCTGTCTCCAGTAGCCCATAGCAGCTGGCAGATCTCAGCACCTCTCTCTCTCCTCACAGTAAGCTCCTTCTTGCACAAAGGAGCAAATTATGTGATAATGTCACACCCTGCTGCAGTGTCAATTGTATGAGCTTCAACAAGACCAAGTGCTGAGTCCTGCACTTCTGGGTATTTCACAAAACAGCCAAAGCTGCTCCTACCCGTGACTGCCCTCCTTCCCCAAGCAAGATCCCAACTCACGTCCTCCATGGCAGCAGCAGCCATCTTACACAGCTGGACTTTCCCCTTGCACAGGGTCCCAGCGTGGCGGAACAGTGAGCAGGGCCATCAGCAGCGCGAGGTGGTTGGGGGCAAGACCACCCCGTATGAGGTAATGGGGGCGGGGCTGCCCACAGTGTGATGCGAGTGGGCGGGGTGGAGCCTGGCAATGTCTCTAAAGGGGCTGCCTGGGGACTGGGGGTACTGGGGGTTTCTCTAGGACTTGCAGCCTGCTCTGTGGTCTTCCAGGATGTTTGGCTTGCAGGTGGACTGTGGCTTGTTGCTGGAGCCCCTGGGCTTCATCAAGGTCCTCGAATGGGTGAGTGGGGCAGGGAAGGCCCTGGGGTTGGCAGTTTGTCCTTCTGCTCAGAGCATCGCTGTGTAGTCCTCAGCAGGAGCGTGTTGGTCAGCTGCCCGTCTGTGTTGTGCAGCTAGGAGTGGCTGCTCTGCAAAGAGGTGCTCCTCAGGTCCTGTCTAGGAGGGAAGAAAGCACTTCTGCAGATAAATAACACGATGTACTCATCACTGCTGTTACAGCGGCTTGGGCTGCTGGGTGGTAGTATCTTACATCCTGCTTGTAGGAGCTGTGGAGTTTCCATACTTAACAGAGGGCAAGCAGGAGCTACTTAGAGATACAGCTTCTTGCTGTGTCAGCGTACAGTTGTGGATGTCTGAGACTCCTAGAAGTGCTTATTAATTACAGGAGATGCTGTGCTGGCTTTCCCTGACAGCATTCAAATCAAAATGGTACTTTCTCAGTAGAACTGAGTAGAGTGTAAACAAGAGTCTTTGAAACTGACTTGTTTGCTTTTTTTTCCCAATTATTTCTATAGAAATACAATGCATTGATTCCTTCTTGCTTTTGCTTTAATGCTTTTTTTTTTTTCATTAATAACTTGTTTGCTTAGTTCTTGGTTTTTATTAACTTCTTAATAAATTAATTTCTTAAAAAAATTAATTTCTGCTAAAAGACTTTGAGCTCTAGTGGTGTGTGCTGATGTCTTTGTTTCAATTTCTAGATTTTTTCCATCTTTGTTTTTTCAACATGTGGAAGCTTTCATGGTGAGACTACCCTTCTAGTTTCCTGCAGGGGTGTGGTGAACAAAACAGTTACAGCTGTGTTTGCTTATCCATTCAGGTGAGATTAATCTGTTCAGTTGTTACTCATATACACTGATTATTTTTTTTCTTCACTTTCATCTAGTTTTCTCCTTGTGAACAGCTCGCATATACAAACTAATATTGTGAACCTCTTGACTTGATCTATGGTAGTTGAAGGGAAAGAAGAGAGTATAAAGTTATAATGGCTGAAAGCACTGTAGTCATTGGTGTGCTGTGGAGGCAAGGAAGTAAAGGTGACAACTGACTATTTTGTATTGCTTTACTCTAAGCTACGTTCTGCCCGTGTGGGAAAGCTATATAAGGTGATTAATCAGCAGAACAGTACAAGTAATTGGGTCTTTTCACAGAATCAGAATCACAGAATTGTAGGGGTTGGAAGGGACCTCCAGAGATCATCGAGTCCAACCCCCCTGCCAAAGCAGGTTCCCTACAGCAGGTCGCACAGGTAGGCATCCAGGCAGGTCTTGAACATCTCCAGAGAAGGAGACTCCACCACCTCCCTGGGCAGCCTGTTCCAGTGCTCCGTCACCTCACTGTAAAGAAGTTCTTGTGCACATTTGTGCAGAACTTCCTATGCTGCAGTTTCTGGCCGTTTCCCCTTGTCCTGTCTCCACTCACCACTGAAAAGAGTCCGGCCTCGCCATTCTGCCCCCCACACCTTAGATATTTGTAGTCCTGGATCAGGTCCCCTCTCAGTCTTCTTTTCTCAAGGCTGAACAGACCCAGTTCACTCAGCCTTTCCTCATAGGAGAGATGCTCCAGGCCCTTCACCATCTTTGTGGCCCTCCGCTGGACTCTTTCCAAGAGATCCCTGTCTTTTTTGTACTGGGGAGCCCAGAACTGGACGCAGTACTCCAGATGAGGCCTCACCAGGGCAGAGTAGAGGGGGAGGATCACCTCCCTCGACCTGCTGGCCACGCTCTTTTTAATGCACCCCAGGATGCCATTGGCCCTCTTGGCCACAAGGACACCCAGGTCCCTCTCTGCAGAGCTCCCCTCCAGCAGCTCATCCCCCATCCTGTACCGGTGCATGCAATTATTCCTCCCCAAATCTTTTCCAACCTTAATGATTCTATAAGATTATCTACAGTCTTAACAGCCCCTTTCTTTATACATAGTTGATCTGGGGACCCAGGTACAACTGTTTCTGATGTGCTGTTGTCATGATATCTTGATGCAAAGGCAGAATGGAGAAAATTAACTTCATAGCTTATTCCACTCTAGTCTTTCTGAGGTTGTTCAGTATGTGACTAAATACTCTACTGCAATTGTAATGTAAATGCAAGCTGCTTTCTTGGAGCATGAGGAAGAAGGCTTATTCTTTCTTTTAACTTTGGCACAATCATAAGAAGTGTATGTGTTACCTTCATGTTCAGTAAGCATATGTGTAATGATAGAAATGGATTCAGATGCTAGAATGTAAAGACCTCTCCAGAAGTACAGAGCTTAGTCACAAACCTCAGCGTTGTAGCAGCACTTGAAGGAGAAGGTAGGCATCTGAAATGCTTCTGTGCTGGTCATTGAGTTGCTACTGGTTGCAAACTTCATTGAGCTTCCTTTGCTTGAAGATCCAGTGCTTGCATTTGTGTGTAGATATGCAGTTGTTTCGTTTTAAGTCTTGCCCCTCATCTTCCCTCCACCTTTAAATGCTAGCCTCCAAAATATAATATGTCTGCTTCCAAACTGGAGCTACTTTCTTCAGTTAGTTGAAATATAAGGTCAACACTTCTCTTTAAGCTACTGTTGCACATCTCAACGTAGGAACAATCTTCAGAGATATGTGTACTTTTGTATTGTATAACTGGTAATGTTATTCAAACAATTTTTCTTACAGTGTTAAACAACTAGCATGCTGAAGGAAGCAGTGGTGTTGTGAAACGTGACTGTATGAAGTTTCCTCTGCATAGTAGACTATTACTATGTAATATATTTTATCTTTTCCAGGTTGAATACTGTTCAGTTTAGTGCACCAGATTCTAGTCGCTGTGGTGGTACTTGGACTGACATCTATCTTGTGGGCAACTTCTCCTCTTCTGCACAATTCTTTGTTACGCTTGCAGCATTGGCTTTCCTCTACTGCATTGCTGCCCTGGTAGTATATATTGGATATAAACACGTGTATCAGCACAACAGCAAGTTTCCACTAACTGTGAGTAATAAGTATTTCCATGTCTTTTTGTACTTCTAAAAAGGATGGAAAAGGCTGTTAAGGCAAGCCAAATCTGAGTTACTGTATGAATACTCGGTAGTTCCAAAAACTGCATGGACTGTGAACCATGTATCTTGGATGTGTGGCTACAGCACTTAAGCAAAAGGAGGAAGGAACTCAAAGTCCTTTAATATCCATGGCATCTTGTCCTATACGTCTACTGAAGCGAAGACTAGAATGAAAGTCCTCCTAAAGTGAACAGTGTCTTCCCCATAACTTACCTTTATTATGTATTTGAGTGTACAGTTATTCCATGGGGAGAGGTCCTTCCTGTTAGTCACTGGGAACTCCCCCTCTTGTAGAGCATCTGCTGTACAGATGTGATACATGGTGGGAAACTGTTACCCTGTGGGTTGAAATCACCTTATATACCAAAGCCCTGATCCTTACAGTGTTTTTGGGTATGATCTGGAATATCTCTCAGTCCTAGTGACCTTTTCAGCTAAACTTTAGGATATCAGCAGTCCAGACTGAAATCACCCTGCTACCCCAATTTTGTGAGACTTTAATTTTGGTAAGTGCCAGCTGTCTGGTTTAGAAACAAATTTCTTCCCAAGGATAAAATTGCTTATTGCTTGATAGATACAAAAGGCATACGTGATTTAATAGCTGATACACAACTTTATTACCCATGTTGACTTGTAATTACGAAGCTGTTAATGTTTGTGCTTGTGTTCACTAGTACTGATATGGTTATTCTAAAGTAGTTGACACAGTCTCTGCCTTATTCTGGTGTGTACTTAACAATTTCTTTTAAATCTTCTAACGAGTACTTCTCTTTTGTAGGACTTAGCTGTAACTATTGTAACAACCTTTCTGTGGCTGGTCAGTACTTCTGCTTGGGCAAAGGCACTTGCTGATATCAAAATATCAACAGGGGCTGGCATTATTCCACTAATTGACTCTTGCAGAGCTCCAGAAACAACTTGTCATTTTGGCTCTGTGACCAGCATGAGATCTCTGAATGTGTCTGTGGTATGTATGTCTTATGCAGTTTTCAATGAATGTTATAGAATGCAGATGGTAGCTGAGAAGCATATTCTCATTACATGTGTTGATTTTTAAAATTGCTTTGTGGGGATGTTGGTTCTACTATGATATAGTGCTTATGCCTTTTTTAAAAAAAGGAAACTCTTCTTATAAAGGAATAGAAACAACTTGAAGGATTTATCTTTAGAGTTGTTAGATATGATAGTTCCTAGATGCATTTAAGCCTCCTTGCTATTTCTGTCTCTAGCCTGTAGCACCTTTAAAATGTTTCTCAGCCACCCAAATGGCTCAGACTGCTTTAAGGAGGAAAAACTGTGCTTCCTGCTCTGTCTTCTGGTACTGAACTTCACTTTTTAAAATCAGCTGTGTGAATTTTTACACCTCAGAGGTTCCTTATAAGATGGTTGGCATAAGGGTGCTCACGTGCACTCCTTGCAGCAAGGTAGCTCTGTCTCACTGTAAGATCTTCTTAATGAAACTTGCTTTCCAGAACTCAGTGTTATTTTTCATTGTCCCACTATAGTGATCAGTTGTGTGCTCTGTATGTGCAGAGGGAACTTGTATTTCTGTACAAAAGACAGAATATCAACTATCTGATTTCCAGAGAAGTTTGTTTAAAATATTCATAATATTCCGGAGTATATGCAGGTATCTTCTGTCATCTCTTTGGTTTGGAGAGCTGTTTCTGGCTTGTTTAGAAGTCATATTCTGCATTGTTGGGGTGTTATTTTTGTTTTTTGTTTAACCTAACCTCGCTTTTTTTCTTGACCTACAGGTATTTGGTTTACTTAATATGGTTTTGTGGGGAGGAAATATCTGGTTTGTGTACAAGGACACCAACTTGCACAGCCAATTAATCAGAGGTTCTCAAGTTCCAGGGACATATTCAGCTCAAAGAATATAAGAACAAGATTATACTTTGAAGTGCTTCTACTTTCACATCAGACTGCAAAGAACATGGAGCCAATAGGATTTATTTCAGTAATAACTGATGGTACAGACTTCTGTTTCATATGAAGTGTTACCTTGATGTAGACTTCAATATTTCAACTGAATTGTTACCTTGAAATATATTATGCCTTAACAAAAGGCTGTACAACCTTGTGCAATATTTCTGAGAGAAAATGTTGAGGTTGCCTAAATGCTGGCACCTTGGGGGGTTCTTTGACCTCATAGGAGGGATGGGGAAGGAGCACCTGTGTTTGAGTTACAACTGCAGCCTATCTAGTTCTAACAAGCCTTTACTGGAAAAAAAAAATGAAGTGCAAATACAACCAGGACATGTGAAATCCCAATGAAAAATGTAGTTGATCTTCTTGGTAAGATGGACACCGTGCAAAAGCCATCTGCATAAAGCCTGGAGCTCTGTCAGGATTGTGGACGTTACACCTAGATTTGCAGGTACTCCCTTCAGATTACAGCATCAACTCTGTCAACAGGTCTTTTCTGGAGAACATTAATTTGTTTAATATTTGGTTACTGTTTAGTATCTTAGGATAATCTTCAGATGAGAACTGCAATATTTCAGTGTAAGTTCACTTATCAAAGGTGTGTGTGTGTGCAGAAGGTGACTTAGTCTCAGAACTTGCTCACATATTGTGGACTCCAAAGCTAATATTCTAGTGGCTAATATCAGTCTCTACTCCTTCCTCTGAAGGATATGTACAGTCTTTGCACATGGACTAAAGCTGTCTCAATATATGGAAGTCTTCATTGACTCTGCTCAGCTCACTTGTATTTACTGAGAGCAATACTTGATGGTTTCTGTGAACATCTATGTGAAGATACCTGACTCTGAATTGCCTAGATACAGTTTATTAGACAAAACACATGCTTGTTAATCTTATCTTTAAGCTGTATCACGAAAATAAGCAAAGGTGTGCCACTGTATATGATACAGACTTAGACTGTTGACTGTACAAGAGCTGTATTTCTGATAGTAAGCTTCTAAGTATAATAAAGTTAGTGTGGCTGCTGCAAAAAGAGGGTGCCTTGTGTCCTTACTGCTCTAATAGATGCAGATGTGTTGGGATGTGGCTTTAGCTGCTTCTGACATTGCTAGCTGAATGAGGTAACTGCTGTGGAAGAGCAGTTAGACTGATGCCTTGAATTGTGTTTTAGTGGGTGATTTGGTTGGTTTGGTGTGCTGTTTTTGTTTTTTTTTCCTCCTTTTTGGGGGGTAAAGATTCTATCTTTGAGAGGACCATCGCTTACTTGAGCAGATCATGTTTACCTGGTGCTGTGCAGCACTTCTGCCAGCCTGTTGTATGGGGCCTTTTACTACTTTTAACTGTCCAAAGTTTCTTTTGAGTTTTATTTCAAAAGCGTTAAATGCAGTGTTCACATGGCCTTTTTAAAGGACATTGTTTCTTCCCAGTTCAAGGGTAAGGGTTTTGAAAGCTATGGATATCTCACCATTTCCTGTGTAACGATGCCAACTCTGACTGATAAATAGGCAAGCTGGTTTTATTTTTATAATCACTCAGGAACCAAGTACTATAGCACCTTACAAAGGCTTATTTTGAGGGAATGTGGAAGAAAAGTAGTACTTAAGTTCAATCCACACATCAGGGGTATGACTTGTAAAATCAAAATGTAGCCTCCTTGAGATCTTCTCAGTAGAAAAGAAACAGTGAGGTGCTGGAGCAGGTCCAAAGAAGGGCAACAAGGCTTGTGAAGGGCTTGGAGAATGTGCCCCATAAGGAGTGACTGAAGGAACTGGGGCTGTTTAGTCTGGGGAAAAGGAGGCTGAGGGGAGACTCTATTGCTCTCTTCAACTACCTGAAAGGTGCTTACAATGAGAGCAGGGATGGTCTCCTCTCACTGGTGATAGGATGAGGGGAAGTGGCCTCAAATTGCACCAGGGTGAGTTTAGGTTGGATGCCTTTATAGAAAGGGTTGTTAAGCACTGGAATAGGCTTCCCTAGGAAGTGCTTGAGTCCCCATCCTTGGATGTGCTTAAAAACTGTTTGGCTGTGGTGCTCGGGAACGTGATGGAACATGATTTAGCAGATGATTGTTAGGGTAGAATGGTTAGGTTGAGGTTGGACTCGATTATCTTAAAGCCTTCTCTGATTTGAGTGACTCCATGATTCTGTGCATCTCACTTCCACTAGCTCAAGGAAGCTGTTTGCTGCACCTTCTGGTAGGCAAGGTGCAATTCTCAGCCTAAAAAGGCTACAGGGTGGGAGAAGTGAGATGTTGAACAGGCTTCACCTGTTACAGGTTTGTTCAGGGTTTGGTGTGTTATTTTTTTTGTGACTTTGTGGATTTTTTTTGGTAGCAACAGTGATTTGTTGTATGTTAGTCTGCTCTGTTTGTTTAACTGGTGTTAACTGAACACCTGGCTTGATGCCAGGTTTGGAGGTGTTCTTTAGGACCACCCAGTATAAATTGCTCTGCAGATGCTTCCTTCTGAAGGACTGATAAAACTGTCAACGTGTTTCACTTTTGGCAGTGCTGTTGGTCTTAATACTCAAAAATCCTCAGGCAGTCAGTGGTTGGTGTTAATGTAGTGCTTGACTGAGCTGTCTCCACAGCCTTGCTTGGGTATCTCTTCTGTGTGAACTGCCAGGATGTGTATGCTGTTAGTAATGTTACGCTCTTGGCACTTTCTTTGCATCAAGCTTCACAAAATTATTCCTGGCTGGGTTAGGTTTCTGTCATTTCAGTAGTCTTAATTGGGTCTTGAAGCTTCACTGGCATTACTGATGTCAAGTGCTGAGCCTCATCTTGCCTTTCATCTCTGCTACCAGCTGGGTCGTGCCCAGCAGAATTGCATTGGGCTATAAATAGTGTGAATCTTGTTGAAAGGCTGCAATTACGATGCTCAGGCGTTAGCTAATGCAGGGCATGAAGCTTTTATCAAGATTTAAAGTATGGAGCCAGATAGCTGATTATGAATACACGGAGGCATTATTTTTAAGTGGTCTTGCACTAACTGTTCTCCTGTCTTCCAAGATCACATGCCAAAAACAACCTCTGTGGCGTCCTTTCTAACCTCTTCTCTTGTATCGATTCCATGCCCTAAATACTAACCTCAAACCTGAAATTCTCATTTCTCCTTGAAGAGATTTCTTTAATTAAGGGCTGTTGTGACAGTTATCACCAATGGCTGCCTTTGTAACAGTATGCTTATATCATGTGTGCAGATGGGAAGAGAAAAAAGTGTTAGTTAAAAAAGGGGGGGAAAAAACACAAATAACTTTGCTACTTATACGGTTTTTTCACTTTGGGGGAGGGGGGGAATACCAAAACTATTGGCCCTTCTCAGTGTTCCTGGTAGAATTATGGACACTTGAGACTAAGATTTAAAAAAAAAAAAAAAAAAAAAGCTGTAGGATCACTACTACAAGCTTACCATAAAGACAATATTTAGGTGTTAGAGTAATTCCATTGCTGTATCTTTAATTTTGGAGCAAACTGGTATTTGTGACTTGATCAAAGCTTGCACTGCTTTGAGCAAGGTTGAACCAAGCTTTTTTTTCCAAGTTCTATGTTGTTTTCTTTTGTCACCTGGTAGATGACTGTTTCCCTTTGTACCTTGTTTTTCTCTTTTAGCCAGAGGCTCCCTGCTTGCGTCATGCTTAATTCAAGCACATATTGAATCCTAAGGTCTAAAACTTCTGAGTTTGCTTATTGCTTAAGGAGATAAATAGCTAACTATAGACTAATTAGGCTCTTCAATGTCATAATTCTTTAGGACTTAAGGTTATATACAATGTGTATTACTATTTTTCCCTTTAATAGTGTTTGGTTGTTTTTTTTTTTTTTTTGAATAAAATTAACAATCTTGTTCCTGTCTATTTACCACCTGAAGCTCCAGTTCTACAATGAGCTGACTGTCACAGAAAATGCTGTTGGAGTCAGTGTTGTATTTTTTTTGTTATAAATGGTAATTGTGTGTATTTTTGCACATGAGAGAAGGAAGGGATTAGATCAGTGTATTCTTCATTGGCCAAGGTCTAGCCTACAAGTGAAGCTGAAACAAAGCTGGAGTTTAGCATGCTCTCCTTCTGTAAGGTCTGTATGAAGAGGTATTCCTGTTCCCCATAGTCTGAAGCTCTCTTACACTTGTAGATGAAATGTGTTCCATCCCTGGAGTACTTCCCTTAGAAGACAGACAAAACATGGCAAATGAGACTAAAATTGGTGAAATATACATAAATTGATGTAATTTCAGAAAAAATTCAAATTGAGCACGCCACGTTTGCAGTCATCAGCCAGGTAAATGTTAATGGTGTACTGGCTCTGCAGACTGAGGTGAATGTGATGCACAGTCCACAGCAAGCAAGATTTCAGAAAGAATAACCATATGTCCCTTCCTTGTTCATTAGGATAAGGCTTGTTTTGCTTCAAAAAGAGGGGATTGCTGTAGGATACTGCTGCCTTTGATGTCTGTTGGAGTCTTGCTGCTGAGATGAGATGGGACTTGGTGCAGCAGAAGCAAGCAGCTGCTCTCATTTATACTGGACACCCACAAAGGGCTGAGGAGCCTTTGCTTTGAATTGATATCACATCCATGCTGGCAGCACTGAGATGCTTAGTGCCTTATTTACTGACAAAAGGGGGGGGGGGGAGGGGGGCGGGAAAGGGGGGTGGAGGAAACCTGCCTGGTTTACCAGCTTTATCTTGATTGCATGAGTATCTCTGTGGCTAACAGGAGATGCAGTTTGCTTATCTCTCTGTGCTGAGGAAACAAAGGGCCTGGAGATCTGCCAGGTCTCTCCACTGAGCTATCATCAGCTGGCAGCAATCCTGGCAGCCTTCAGTTGTGCAAGCTCAAAAATCTTTAGTGTGTGGATCCTCCTGGTAGCAAGCTGTAACTATGCAGCCCTAGCATTTGCACTGAGGGGTGATTTGTGGTGTGGTTGTGAGGAGCTGTGATCAGAAGACCAGGGTAGG